CTATCAATTCTCTTTTTTGCGCTGTCACACCTGAAGAGTTTAGTCGAATTTGCAATTGTAAAGTCGCAAAAGAGGCTTGGGATATTTACAAACTATTCATGAGGGCACTCATTCTGTTAAACGCTCAAAACTTCAAAGGCTCACGTCTAGTTTCGAAAACCTTTCAATGAAAGATAATGAGACCTTTGATGAATTTTATGCAAAGTTGAGTGACATTGTAAATTTCAGCTTCAATTTAGGTGAAAAAATACCAAAATCCAAAGTTGTAGGAAAAATTTTGAGATCCTTGCCCGATCAGTTCCAACCAAAAGTTACGGCTATTGAGGAGGCTCAAGATGTTGACAACCTCAAGCTGGATCAGTTGGTTGGAAATCTCTAAACTTATGAAGCATATAGGAATTTCAAAAAGAAACAAAAAGATGGTATTGCTTTTAGTAGTGCTCATAGAGTTGGAAAGGATTCTGATGAGGATTGTGAGATAGATTCTAAGATTACGGCTGCTTTTGTTAAACAATTTAAAAAATCTATTTTGAAAAAGAATCATAATCTTTTGGAATCTACTCATACTCATAAATCTAAAGGCAAAGAAAAACTCAAAATTAATTCTATAGCCAAGAAGGAGAAAGGAAAGATACAAGGGAACTCTGAAAGAGTCCAATGCTATGAATGCCAAGGATTTGGCCACTTTGCTTCAGAATGCCTCACTCGTTTGAAGAAGAAGAAAGCTCTTGCCATCACTTGGGATGATGAATCAGAATCTGATGAAGATGAAAGTGATAACGAAGATCAAGGCGAAGAGGGACATAAACAATTCCTTACTTTCATGGCGGCTTCCGAAACTGAAGGACGAACAGAGTATCCGAAGAGCCCGGTTGAGAATGCCACTGATGATGAATCCTTGGGTAGTGATGATAAAGAGCTTGAGCAAGCTTATGAAAAGTTGTATAAAGAATCTCTTAAGTTATCCAAATTGAATGACAAACTCACTATGAAACTCAAAGCATATGAAAGTGAGAATGTCGAACCAAAGGAAGAGATTTTAGAGGCTAGGAATGATGCCCTTAAGATTTCTAATGATCGACAAGCTCTTTGTAAAAAACTCTTGACTTGTGAGATAGAGAGGAATGAGCTACAACAAATCTATGCAACATACGAAGAAAAGATTGAAACTCTCGAGATGTCTCAAGTTGCTTTGGAAGAACTAATGATCAAAAAAGAGGAAGAACTTAAGTGTGCTATGGCAACCATTGGTCTTTGGAACAAAGGATCAAAGACTTTGGACAATATCATTGTTTCTCAACAAATTTGTTCTGACAAGAGTGACATTAGCTTTGGTGGTAAGAAAGAGCAAAAACAGAGTACATCCACATCTTATGATACAAGAACTCAAGGGCAGGGGAGCACAAGGTTCAACGAGAGGAAAGACTTCTCAACCTTCCTAAAGTTGGTAAGGTCAAAGAAAAGAAGGTACACCCTGTACACCCTGTTTTTATTTATCATCATTGTGGTTTGCATGGTCATATTTGCCCTTATTGTTATGCGTTGCATAGAAGAGCATCTCATAGAGATGGAAGAAATTCCAACATCTCGTGAGGTAAGAGACACTTCATTGGTCGTAAGGAGGTTAAGGATCATAATAAACCTTGCTATTTTAATGAGCTTGAGACCAAACAGAGAGCGAGTTTATATTTGCCTAGACCTAGAAATAAGAAGCTAAAACCACGTCGAAACGGGTTCCCATTGAAAATGAAGGGAACCACAACATCAAGACACCACCCAAGAACCGCAATTCTCATAACTTTGTTCATAGTAAAGCGGTGTGGGCGAGAAAAATTGACTTGTGTTAAGATTGATTATTCGTTTTTTTTGTGTTTTTCTTTTTTGGGTCATTTATTGCGTGGTATCATTTAGTTTGTGCTTGTTCTTATTTTATGTCTTGCTTTGTTTAGAAAAAAAAAAAAAAAATCCCAAAAAGATTTTCTTAGTATGGTTTTGCAAGCTTGAAATTTTTTAGTAATCCTTAGTGCATATTGAAATTGATGAGAATATCATTTACATGTTAATATGTGTGTGCTTTCTGTGGTCATTACTCATTTTGGAGTGTGTTTTTTGATTAGTATGTCTCATTCTGTACACACTCTTGGATTAGAAAATATCAGAGCCTTCTGCCTTAGTAATTATTTTTTTTTATGGACGTCTGGCATTGTATCTTTTGCTTTTCTAGAGGAATTGACCTATACTAGCATATCATGGGTGATGTTGAGTCTCTTAACCACCTTCTATCTTTTTGCACCTCCACAGCTTTCCCCTCATTTCTTTGCAGTCTAGCCATGAGGAAAAGGCTACCTTAGAGTCACCAACCAGGCCATCCTTATTATATCCATGCTTCTCTGGTTCGGTTTCCATACTCTTGAGCGTGTCAGCCGCCAATGAGTGTGCAATAGAATAAGAATAAGAAAAAGAAAAAGAAAAAGAAAAAGGAAAAGGAAAAGGAAAAAGAAAAAACATGTGCAAAAGAAAAAAAAAATGTGCAAAAGAAAGAAAAAAAAAAAAGGATTCATTAATTGAGAGGAAGCCTCTGCTTTCACTCACCAAATACCCCTTGATTCCTAATGGTTTGACTTTCCTTAGTTGTGCTTAGATTCTCTTGTCGGAGGTCCAACTTTCATATCACTACTAGGATTTGAATCTAGTGTTTGTCGAACTCCAAGAGTCACACACACACTTTTTTCATAGGATTTATGCTTTTCACATAATGCATCACTTTCTTTCATGAGGAACCTTCTACAGATCGTGCACATTGTGTTTTCAAGTAATTGTGCTTCTTGAATAATCTTGTGTGTTTTAAGGTACAACTCTGAAATTCCTTGCTTGCTCCACCATATTATTTTTGTCGTTTTCTTCTTGTTCATTGTTTTTAGTGAAGGGGAGTTTGGTTTATCATTGCAAGAGTTGTTTAGCATGAACACTTTGATATGTTTGGTAAGGGAGATTGGCTATATGTTTTGCATGTTGCTATGCACTGTTTGCTTATTATTTCCTTTTTGCATGCTATAGTTGTTTGAGCTTCATTTGTCAATTTGTGACAAAAAGGGGGGAGAAGATTGTTTTTCATGTATCTTAGGATTTCATGTATTCATGTCATAAGTTGGGTGCCTATGTCTTAGTTTTCATCTATCCATCTATCCATGCTACATGTTCTTAAAATCTCCAAGTCGCATCTATTCATGTTTTCCATCTCATGCTTCAAATACTTCAAGATAATTGTGCCATATGTCTATTGCTTTTTCATATACTCTTGTGGGACTAATAGTTGTTTTGGAGATTGTGGCACTAATAGTTGTTTTCCAGATCATGACCTTGAGAAAGAAGTTTGTTTTTATTAGCTGTAAGGGTTGGGGTGTTTAGGATTTTATTTGTTTGGTGTGTTTTGTCACGGCATTGCCAAAGGGGGAGATTGTTAGGTTTTTATTTTTGGCCATCCTGTTTGACAAAACTCCTTTAAGTTGTATTTGTTTTCGCACTTTTTTATTTCAGTAAGGCTATGAGTTTATTATATGCGAATCCAACCTGAATTGTGCCTTGCAGAGAAGTTTGTGATGTTAATACTTTTAAGATTACCACTTCGCTGATTATGACGGGGATCGAACTGCTCGGTCAGCTCGTGGGGGTCGAGGGGGCAGCGCCCCTTGGCAGGTCCGGGGCAGCGTCACGGCGGGGGGGGGGGGGGGGGCCCCCGAAGCAAAATGCAAAATTACATTCAAAGTTGCATGTCCGCCCTCTCTCGCTCGAGCGAAGGTTGCGTCTGGCATAAAAACCTGAAAGAGATGATTTTACGCTCGAGCGAAGCTTGTGTGGCTCGAGCGAAGCCACTTATGGAAAACACGCGTTTTTGATTCCTCGCTCGAGCCAGAGAGTCTTTGTTCGAGCGAGCATCGCAGTCCCAAATTTCTATAAGTACGGGTTTCTGTCAAATTTTAGGAGTACTTCTCCAGATCTTCTTCTTGTGTTCTAGAGTTTATATCTGGGGATATTTTGCTAGTTTTCTTTGATGTTTTGATTGAGTATTCAACTCATGGTTTAAAGAGTATATATCAAAGGATTATGTAGCAAACGGTAGTATGTCTTTTGATCCATGTGGGTAGATCTGTGCAATGATTTAAAAATAATAGTTAGTACATTGTAGGGCATAAAATACGTTAGCTTCAGATTCCTATAAGTAGACATTACGCACAGTAGTATGCAAATGTGGTCCAGTGACATCAACTCCACCAAGCACCAAAGCAGCTTGGACATAACCTTGGTGGCTGGTTAAGCGAAAAGAATCAGGCCTTCTTGCATTGTAATCTTTTCACACAATAAGTACCGATATTGTTGAGAAAAACAAACCTTGAATTATGTAACCTTGCCTAAAAACATGGGACTTCAAAAGGGTAAGAGCCGTCACAACCCTTGATTCTGACCAGTATGGTACCTGTAGCTGCAACTGGGAACTGACCAATGTCTAGAACGACAATATTTTAGAAACTTAGTTTAAAATGGATGTAGTGCTGTAAAAGCTTAAAAATACAGATATTCTGATAGAGAAATTAGACTTGGAAATACCTGTCACTGCCTCTGTATCAGCAGCAGTGCCTGCTCCACAGCAGTAAAATGGATTTTCTCACAATTCTTATCAGCAACAATGGGCCCTTCAGTGGCTCTTGAGATGCTCCAAGGATGACTCCATCCTGAAGATGATTTGAGAATAGTATAAAGTACGAGTTTAGGAAGCATCTATTCAATTAATCCACTACGAAGATTCTGTGAAGCAAATAGAGGAATACATGGGAGTAAAAAAAAATATTCCGACTAGTAGGAAAACATAAAAGTAATAAACCCAAGATATATTTGGCAGTTGAACCACTGGGCCATCAATTTCAATGAGAAAACCATCTATTTGTATCCAATTTGTTCTGTGCAAAAATCGTCCAGGTTTGGCTCTCCCCTCTTTGGTGACTACTAATTCGTATTTACAATGTAACGGTGCTAATTTTGTGAGACCAAACCTCCTCAAGGACTGATCTATAGAACCAACATTGCAAGAGAGCAAGATCAATATACATCAACTCTTTGGGCCCAACAACAATGTTCATTGCATGGGAGAACAAGAATGCCCGACCATTCTTTCCCTGAGATCAAAATCACAAAATTTTGGGATATATAAGCCTCTTGAACAACCTTTTAGCAAAGGCACAAGAAGATCAATTTTACCACAAATAAATATAAATTTTATATATATAGATTAAGTTGTTGTGTTTAACAAAATTTCATTTCCCAACTAAATCACTTTAATGACAAATATTTTTCTTTTGCATTTATTTTCTTTCTTTCTTTGCTTTATTTACTATGATTCCAAACCAGGATATCACAATCAAGTCTAGTCATGATTTCTTAGCTCCTAATTAATGAAAAAATCAAGGATAAATTCTTCAATTTGTTTCCTTTTCCTATCTTTCCCAAAAACCAAACAAACCTTACTCCTATTGGTGGAATGCAAATGAGGTCCTCATTGTCTGGATGATCAATTACACAATATACAAGTTACCACCATAATTATAAGTTCAAGAAAATTAGAAGAAAAAAAAAAATCTTCAACTGAAGGGCTTTAGAAATAACATCATCGTGAAGCGTAACATGGTTTCAACAATTACAGCAACTGTACAATCTTGGCCCAATTACCTCCGCCATCTGTGATCAATACGAACACCAATTCGCTAACAAAGGACAAGCAACGAGACATAGTTTCACAATACAATAATCAAAATACACAGGAATAATATAGTAACACTTTCATCTTAGTATTTAAAGGCTAAATACTAACATCTTATTGATGATTTATCTCTATACTCATCACTGTCATCTAAAGCCACCCAAGAGTTTCACCATTCATCTCTGCATTGTAAGAAGAAATAGGCAAGAAGGCTTCATATGGAACGATCACAAGGGGACAAGAGGGCTTTACCACTATCCACACATCCTTCCAGATAGGATGTCATATATTGAGTTTCTCCAATTATTCATTTTCCATAGGATATATGAAAAAACTATAATCTAGAGATCGAAAAGTCATTTGAGTTTCCAGATTTGGATATCGAACTATGTAAGTTTTGATCACCATTTCAACCATGTGATCTTGTAATTTCCTCCCCTAATTAAGAACTGAATTAGAAAAGAACTTTCTTGATGTAATAGAAAAGTTATCTTTCATAAAGGTACTCTTTAGTTTTGCCCCTTTCAGTTGCAGGAACAGCAATCCTTTGATATTATGTCAAGGTTTACTATACATTCATGTATAGATTATAAAGGTGGGCAACAATAACTGATGTATCAGGGATATTAGCCAACACAAAAGCAGAATGCAAAAATACATTGTGAGGCATAATAACGCATCCCACCACTCTAATAGCTTGCCTAACTGTTTTTGAGCTGAGTTTTGGAACCAAGAGACCTACAAAGAGGAATGAATTCTGTTTTTACATATGACTATAGAAATCATAAATTTAATTGTATGTTAAGAGGAGAATCCAAAACAAAACAAAATACGTTTCTCACCTACGATAAGTTATTTTCCATTAGGTTTTGCATCAGCAAACATCCAGGAAAACGATAATGCCATAGTTGAGATGAGAACTGCAAAAATAGCTTCTAATTTCCTCACTCCATAGTTCTCCAAAAATAAAAAGATGAAACTGTTCACGACAAAACCTGTCAACAGAATGAACTTTCATTTTTGTGTAGCAATCGCTTAATTTCAGAATCAGTAGAGGTAAATTATTAGAAAAAAGGTAAACATTTAATGAGATCCAATGTAATAAGGCCAAGAAGCAAGAAAGCACCTTTCAATTAACTGACAAATTAGTGTCTTAAAAGATTTAAATTCAAGAAAAAAAAAATAGCAAATGAGACATTTCGAGCATAAAAAAAAATATAGACAACTCAATAACTACTATATGATGTGAAATTAACAACAACAGAACATGGCAACAATTATTGGTAGTATAAATCAAACAATTTTGGTGTCAATTTGCTATTCTGGTATCTAAAAAAGAAAATTTCAATTTCAATTGCTTAAAGTGAAGAACTATTTGTTCTTTCAGGTTCCAAACAATAAACAGATCAATAATCGCAATTCAAATCCTAATAAACAATTAAAAAAACCAAATTAATTTTCCCAATCTTTTCTCAATAACCAATCACCAGAAAACAAATTCCCCGAAAACTAACCAGTCAGAAGCGGTTATAACAATACCAGCCCAGATAGGAAAAAACCCATTGCTGAGAATCTTGATAGCAATTACACTCCCAATCACCTCCTGAATATTAGCCCCAATCAAAGCAAGCTCTGACATGAACCACAACAACAACCCAGCCCAATACTGATACTCTTTCCTACACAGTTCCGCCAAGTGCTTCCCCGTGGCGACACCGATCCTCGCCGACAACAGCTAGATCAGAAAACCCATCCCGGTGGCCCACATCAACAACCACAACAGCGAATACCCAACAATCGCTCCCTCTCTGTGAGAGAAAGACAGAGGGCGATGGCGATTTGCGGCGATGGCGAAGTGCGACGGACGTGAGCAACGGTGGTGTGGCACTTCGGTGAGCTAGAGAGAGTGGGCACCGATTGAGAGAGAGAACACAGAGAGAGGGAGAGGGCGGACCAACATAGAGAGACACAGAGAGCGAGCTAAAGACAGGGGAGATTAGGGGTTTTTTTTTTAAAAAAAAAAATTATTTTTCTGGTACAAAACGACGTCATTTTACAATCAGCAACCAAATTTTTTTGTCGCAAAAAAATTTCAATTCCCGCCTCCACGTTTCAAATTTCCCTCCCAAACTTTTGGCGACCAAAAGACCATATTAGTCGCAGAAAAGGTACCTTCGCCGACAAACTTTTTTAGTCGCCAAATCTCAATCAACGGTGACTACAATATTAGTCATTAAAAGTATTAATTTGGCGACTAATTTTTTTTTGGTTGCTGAAACTAAGTTTTTGACAACCAAATATTTGGTCGCCAAAGAAAAGTAATAATTTTTTATTTTTCATTCGGCGGCTAAATTATTTTAGTAGCCAAAACTTAATATATGGCAACTAAAATATTTTTGGTCGGGAAAAATAAGTTTTTGGTGACTAAAATTTTGGTCGCCAATTCCACAACCAACTTATTTTTGATCTTCTGCGACCAACTTATTTTTTGGTCGCCAAAATGTGACATTCCGTGACTAAATTTGTAGTTGGTCGCTAAAAGCATACCACTTTCTGCAACCAACTCATTTTTTGGTCACCAAAATATGACCTTCTGAGACCAACTCATATTTGGTCGTCAAAAATAATGATCATTCGTGACTAATTAATATTTGGTCGCCAAAAGGTAACTTTCTGCTACCAAGTTTTATATTGGTCGCGGAAAGTGGTCGCTAAAAGTGCAGATTCTTGCAGTGCATATGCCTCATCACATATATATGTATAATATAGTTTAAACTTGTCCTAATCCAATCGTGTAGACTTGTCCAAGCTTTTGGTCGGCGTCTATCTCCCAGGATACAATGATATTTACAAATTGTAGTAGTACTCCAAACAATTTGTTCGGCGAACCAAACCTATGTTCTAACTCTCTGAAATTTATTCCTAAAAAATGAAGATTAATGCACTAATGCACCAAAGATAACAAACTGGACATCAAATAATATTTCAGACTGATTTTTGGGATCATCTCAACTGCTAGAAAGTATCTATATTTATAGGCAAAAAATTAGACCGGAAAAGGTACTTCCTTGAAGTGAACAGGTGCATAACAAAATTGAACAGGTTTAGTCCAAATTTATTTTTTAAAACAAAATTGCAACCTGTTAAAATACAAACAAATCCGGACCGTCTGTACAACCAATACCAATAATTCAAACTTAGAACCGTAGTGGACTAAGTCAACATGAAGGAACTTTAATTTAATTTAAACTATTGAAATATATATATATATATATATTAAACTATTTGAATATATATATATATAACTATTTGAATATTAGGAATCCAAAATTTGAATTTAGAATTAAATTAAATTCCCACAATAATTTTTTATTGAAAAAATTCAAATGATCCAAAAAAAAAAAAAAATAATGTTAGACTTGAAAACGACGTCAACTTCCCATTCACTCATAAATGGTTTTGACGTTCCGTCTTCACCGTGTGACTTGCCACGTGGCAAGGAACACTTCACCTCTTCGGACCCGCCCCAAAATACGTTCGAGGCCCACTCAAAAATGAGCTAAAAAATATGCCTATATTAAACCATTTTTCCAGCAATCCCCCACATGAATGGAATTTGATGGAGAGAAAATGTAACAATATGATCTAATTACAGAGAGTACAGAAATTGGTAATATTCTGCAAAGGATAGGTAGCTTTTGGCTTTGAACCTTCCCTTGTGAGACACTATCGGATTTACTAGCTAACCAGTGAACATGATGTCTTAAACTGTTCAGCCGTTTGTGTAAACCAAGACAATAGAACTCACACAGTATATTCCCAGACACAGTTTAGTTCTCACTATTGTGTTCATTTTGGCCCTGAACAACCTGGTCTTCAATGAGTGCTCTAGAGAATTGTAGCCCTTCACAAATCTCATAGAACCAGC